GTAATAAAGGGATAGGGTCAAAAAGGATAAGACAACGAGAAACATACAAAAAGGTTAGACCAGGGGAAAAGGGGTAACACAAAAGTGGGATTAATCCCACAAAATAACATCGCTTCAGCAAGTCTACCAGTCCGGGTTTACATATTAAATCTTAATAATTACTCTATTCTTAAACAACTTTCCATATAATCATGTAAATAACAAATTAATCAATAAATCTCATTCATTTCACTACTTAACAGTGCTTAATATTAATTAATTGTAATCACTTTGAAATAATAATTCCTTTTCTTTTCACCCTTCTCCAAAAAAGCCTCCCCCCCCCCGAAAAAAAGGTTTCCATGCAGAATTCAGAATAATTCTGCAAGACTTAAATGTCGTTTAGATCAGGGGGTCCCCAGACATTTGGGCACCAGGGACCGGTTCCGTGGAGAGAGGTTTTTCCGTGGACCGGAAGGTGCGTGGTTTTGTGTGCTGCCTGCATCCCACGGATGGGGCTTCGCTTGTTTGTGCGGACCAGTTGCTGGCATGGTTTAAACCAGGGGTAGTCAACCTTGGCTCTTTTATGACTCGTGGACTTCAACTCCCAGAATTCCTGAGCCAGCTAAGCTGGCTCAGGAATTCTGGGAGTTGAAGTCCACGAGTCATAAAAGAGCCAAGGTTGACTACCCCTGGTTTAAATTAATCTACTGCTCTGTGATTTGGGAATTCTAGCCAGATTTTGCTATGGATGCATTTTGGGGGATGAGTAGGGTAATGGGCTTGTCCTTGAGGAACTTTATGTCACTGTCTTACTAGGAGGAGGAGGAAGACCGGCGCGAGGAAGATGAACAAGGTGCCAGAGGACGCAGCAGAAAGAGGGAACAATCTGAAGGTATTTTTTCAGTTAATAATTAATTGATGGAACCTCATTAGATGACATACATGGTGACGTGCCATGATCTACATCGTCGTTTGTTAATACCTGTGGCTGTTAAAGTTGGGTTTAAATTGAAACTGTATCTTGTTTTGGTTTTGGGTGGGGTTTTTTTTGGGGGGGGGGAGTTATTGCATGCTGTCTGGAGAGCTGCAGTGGAGGGCCAGGTAAATTCTTTAAACAAATAATTTCAGATTCTTAGAAATGTGTTTAAGACAGTTTTTTAATGAATTATTTTTTTCCAAATGTGCACTCACTCGAAGATTATCTCCCCCATTCATATCATTTTCAGAGCATTTCTCTGCCCCGTAGGTCAGCCGACCATCAGCATTTAGCAATGTTGCTCATATAAATATATCCACGTGCTGCTCACTGCTTAAGCTGGTTAAAATCCAAAACTTAAACTCGATGTAAAGTATTCAGTTTGGGCCTTATCTCTTTTCCTATTAGCGTATAAAAAAGAAAATATTTTCCAGGTATTTTTCAGTTCAGAAGACAGGACAAAGAATCATGGAAGGGTCTAAAATCTGGCCTTCCTGTTTCTTCAATTTTCTCACATTGAAATATATTGTTCTCATTTGAAACAACAACAATAATAGTGGAATCCCGAGAAAGCTACATTCTGGACCCGTCATGGTGCAACAGGTGGGAAACCCTGGGATTGTTTTATTTGTTCTTTATCCTCGGCGCAGATCGTGATAGCGACGGCTCCTCCAAGTATTCACCTTACGGGGAGTCTGACGAGGACAGTGACAGCACTTCTGATTCAGAAACCAGTTCCTCTTCTTCCTCTTCCTTGTCATCGTCGTCGTCTGATGAGGAGGAGGTGGAGAGCACGGAGGAAATAGATGATTCTGCTACAGATATCCATCCGTCTGAGTCGTTGGGAAGCCTGGAAGAGAGAATATGGCCAGGAACAGATGTTGAGATGGCCAAGAAGAAGCCGGAAGTCGCTCTGCTTCAAGGTGAGATGTTGAGCTCTGGATTTCCATTGGACTGTGGTGACGAACCTACGGCACGGGTGCCACAGGTGGCACGCAGAGCCCTCTCTGTGGGCACACGCACCGTCACCCCAGTCCTAGGCCTTCAGCTGGGTTTTATAAAACCTTTTCGCTTTAGTCCTCCGCCGCCGTGTGGAAAAAAAAAAGGTTCAATCCATCCATCAATTTCAGCTTCTCGCGGGGGAAATAAAAAAGATCTTGCAAAGTTGGAATTGATTGATTGAACTTTTTAGTGCCACCCAGTCTGCCGTTACCACCGCAGCCACGCCCACCCGGCACCCGATGATACATAAGTGGATTTGGGGTTTCAGTTTGGGCACTCGGTCTCTAAAAGGTTCGCCATCACTGCCATAGAAAAAGCCTATTGGTCCTTCTGGAATGCAGGTTGAGGACTGGGGAGGAGAGCAGCTGCATCTTATCACAATTCCTGTGCTTTGAAGCTAGGAGTAATTTACCTCCGGGGCTTTGTACATATGTGTGCTGTCCCTAGATCAGGGCTTTTCAACCAGTGGTACGGGTACCACCTGTGGTACATTGGCACCTGGCAGGTGGTACGCGACCCTCCTACAAAAGTGGTAGCGGGGGAGGGGAATGAGCTGAACCAGTGGCAGCACCGCACAAGCCTGAGCGAGAGATGGCTGGAGCTGCAGGGCTGTCAGGGCTCAGCGGAAGCGCCAGGATCAGTGCCACTTTCCAGCTGATTGGTGCTTCTTCGGGACTGTCAGGGCTCAGTGGAAGCGCCAGGATCAGCGCCAGGCTCCAGCTGGAGCTCGGCGCTGATCCTGGCACTTCTGCTGAGCCCAGAAGAAGCGCCAATCAGCTGGAAAGTTTCAGCATCTCCAGGGTCTTGTGATTTACATTCAGATGCTTGGCAACGGATTCATATTTATGAGGGTCACAGTGTCCCAGGGTCATGTAAAGTGACCAAAACCTGCTGCAACCACCCAGCAGACGGGGGGGAATAAAAACCAAACACCCCCCCACCCCACCCCCACTGCCAATCCTCAACAGAAATGCTCACAATGAAAACCTCGGACAGGAGGAAGAGCGCCGCCAGGTGGGCAGGCAGGTGTCTTGCTCGGCTCTGGCTTGGGGGGCACTTTTTTCAGTGCCATTATAACTTCGAACAGTCACTAAGCAAACTGTTGTAAGTCGAGGACTACCTATACTTTATCACTTTTTTCCTTTTTGGGGGGGGGGGACATCACGTTTTTGACACCTTGCTAGGCGACTGGTGGTACTCAGATATTGCCATATCCTAAAAGTGGTACAATGGGTGAAAAGGTTGAAAAGCCCTGCCCTAGATGACTTAAATCTGTTGTTATGGTTTTTGGTGCCGCTTTTCTGCCGATAACCTTCACTTCTATCTTTCTGTACTAGACATTTCCAAGTGTTTTTCTTCTGATACTGCCTCGGAACTGATAACGTCCAAGGTTAACCCATCTCAACTTTGTTACCCCTGGTCTATTTCTATGACCTTTCGGCACCCATTGAAAATGACACCGTCTGCTTTATTGATTGGAGATAAAGCCTTAATGTTTTCTTTGACATCTGTCTTTCCATCTTCAGCTTGTCACCAAATCGTGTGGCATCTTCTTCTTTTTTTTTTTTAACACTCCTACAGAAGTAAAGTCTGAACACAGCAGCTCTCTTCCACCCTACCATCCTTCGGGTCTTCCAGTGGTGCAACCATCCCTATAACTGAGTCCGTTAACTTGGCCATTACTTTTCCTCTTCTTCTGTTTCCTTCCACCTTTTCCAGCATCAGAACCTTCTTCATAGAGTTAGTTCAGGGGTGTCAAACTCAATTTCATTGAGGGCCGCATCAGCATTGCGGCTGCCCTTGAGGGGACCGGGTGGGTGTGGTCAGGGTGGGTGTGGCCTACTGGGTGGGCGTGGATGGAGTGGGTGTGGCCTACTGGGTGGGCGTGGCCAGCTCTACATTGTCCGCGTCAAGGGTGCCTGTGTGGGCCTGGGCAGGAGTGGGACAGATCTGAAGGTCTCTGGCAGAAGGGGGTGGGACCGGGGCAAGCGCCAAGGCATGGTCCATTTCTTCATTCCTCACAAAGGGTGACACCTCCCCAGCATGCACCCAGGGGGCGGGGCCGACATGGCAGGGGCTGGTTCCTCGCTGTTTCTAGACGGCCTTGTGGAGCTAAGACTGAATGCGTTTCAGCATAATGGCCACCACAAAATTGTACATTGGCTCCCGGCCGGCCTGGGCCAGGGCCAAGGCAGCGGAGGCCGTTTCTCTCACTGTTTCCAGGATGGCTTCGCGGGCCACATGAAACCACTTCGCGGGCCGCATCCGGCCCCCGGGCCTTGTGTTTGACATGTCTGAGTTAGATCTTCGCATATTGTAATGTGCCCCAAAGTAAGACAGTTTGGAACGGGTCATTTTGGGCCTCGAGCGTGAGCTCTGGGTTTCTTTCTTCTGAGGATCCATTGGTTAATTTTCTTGACTGCCTGCGGTATTCTGCAGCACTAATGGAATGTGGGAATGACCTTGGGGAAAGGGGGGGGGAAGAGATGCTGCCTAGGAAACAATCAGAGGAGAGAGGGAGGAGCCCCCAGTGGCTCTAATAACTCAAGCCGCTAAAAGCGGCATCAGGAAGTTTTGTACGTTCAGACTGGCAAGATTCTCTTAATGATGCCCTTGCAGTAAGGTAGGTTTAGCTCAGTGTTTCTCAACCTTGACAATTTTAAGGCATGTGGACTTCAACTCCCAGAATTCCACAGCCAGCATTGCTGGCTGTGGAATTCTGGGAGTTGAAGTCCACATGCCTTAAAATTGTCAAGGTTGAGAAACACTGGAAACTTTACCTCATCTAGTCGTGTTTTCTGTCTGTTTTACCCGGGAGGGCTGATAAACACCACATTCAAAAGCATCAAGACTCTTCCTGCCCTGTTCCTTTAGTGCTCAGCTCCAAATGTTAGCAATCTAATATTAAAATCGCCATTTAAATAAATACACCAAATCAAGAATCCATAGATCAGGGCTTTCCAACCTTTTCACCCATTGTGCCACTTTTAGGATATGGCAACATCCGAGTACCACCAGTCGCCTAGCAAGGTGTCAAAAACGTGATGATCAAAAAAAAAAAAAAAAAAAGGAAAACAGTGATAAAGTACAGGTAGTCCTCGACTTACAACAGTTCGCTCAGTGACCGTTCGAAGTTACAATGGCACTGAAAAAAGTGCCTCCCAAGCCACAGCCGAGCAAGACACCTGCCTGCCCACCTGGCGGCGCTCTTCCTCCTGTCCGAGGTTTTCGTTGTGAGCATTTCTGTTGAGGATTGGCAGCGAGGGTGGGGTGGGGGGTGTTTGGTTTTTATTCCCCCCGTCTGCTGGGTGGTTGCAGCAGGTTTTGGTCACTTCACATGACCCTGGGACACTGTGACCGTCATAAATATGAATCAATTGCCAAGCATCTGAATGTAAATCACAAGACCCTGGAGATGCTGCAACATTCCAGCTGATTGGTGCTTCTTCAAGGCTCAGCAGAAGCACCAGGATCAGTGCTGAGCTCCAGCTGGAACCTGGCGCTGATCCTGCGCTTCCGCTGAGCCCTGACAGCCCTGCAGCTCCAGCCATCTCTCGCTCAGGCTTGTGCGGTGCTGCCACCAGTTCAGCTCATTCCCCTCGCCTGCTACCACTTTTCTAGGAGGGTCGCGTACCACCTGCCAGGTGCCAATGTACCACAGGTGGTACCCGTACCACTGGTTGAAAAGCCCTGCCATAGATAAAGACTTTTTTTTTCTTTTTGTCCCTTACCTCCCTTCGTTTTCATTGACAAAAATAAGAATTATTTTTTTTTACATCTTTACATCTTTTTTACCTAGCCCTTAAATCACTAACGTAAAATTTATCTCCCTCCCACAGGCCACGTTGTTCAGGAGAAGCCTGCTCTTCCGAATGATGCTTTGCTAGTCCCAGCAATAGAGGAGAAAGGTGTCTGGGCGGCACTAGAAGAGCGAACGCGACAAGAAAAACGACCTTCCTCGCCCATCCCACTTCTGCCCCCACCCAAGAAACGCCGGAAAACAGTCTCCTTCTCAGCTCCTGGTGAGGATGAAGGGGCCTTGGAGAAGCCACTTGAATTGGCATCCTTGGGTCTCCTCGCCCCACCGCCCCCACCCCCTCCTCCTCCTCCTCCTCCTCCTCCTGTCCCCACAGAGGAAGCACAATCCCCATTCGTTCCTGTGGAACCCCTACTACCACCCCAAGTGTCCTTAACCTCAGATGCCCCGGTTCCGGCTACTTGTCCCTTGCCTCCCGCAGCTTCCCTGGTAAAGCTGGCGGCTCCCGCCAGCCGCAGGCGGGAGCCGCCGAAAGCCAGTCAAAGAACGATCAGCAACCTGCCGGCGGACCACGCTTCTCTCGTGAAATGTTGGTCGGAGGATATGCCAACTGGCCGCTCCCGAAACCGTTCTCGCTCCCGAAGCTCAGAATATTGGAGGGCAGCGCAGCCCCCGGAGGACGACAGACTGCACACGCGTGAGCAAATGGGGGCCTCCTCGCTCCTGGAGCTGGCCAATCAGCCTGACCTGGCCGTGTTAGCCGATGTGGCTCTCAAGATGCCCGCCGCTGCAGGCCGGGGAGGCTCGAAGGAGGCCTCGGATGAACCCGAGGCGCCAAAGCGCCTGCTTCCGCCCCCCGCGTTCTCCCTTGAGGTCAGCAGCATCTTCATGGAGCACAACTACGCCATGGCGGTGCGTGCAGCACCGGTGACGGTCCCCCGGAAACAAGATGAGGCCACACTGCCGGGTGCGGCTGACCTCTTGCAGATGAGCGTATATAATGAGCACATTGGCGAGGTCCTGGAGGCTCCCGAGGAGATCGTGGCAGATGCCGGTGAAGCCAGAACTGAGTCTGAAGTGGGCGACCTTGTTGCACTGGCGCCTCCACCCCCCCAACCTATCGAAAAGCCCAAGGCACCTGTCCCAGACCAGCAGCAGCCACCGGCGAAGAAACCTCCCCACGGCCTAAAGGAGGAGGCCATAAAGGATCCAGGAGTGTTGCTTTTAGGCCCAGAGAGTCTGTTCCCTTCTGGGAGCGAGGAGGAGGAGGAGGAAGAGGAAGAGGATGACGAGAGCTTTGACAGCAGCGACGAAGGGGAGATTCGCCGGCGCTCTCTGCGCTCTCACTCCCACAAGCACACCCCTGCCCGTCCCCCCCTGCTTCCACCCCCGGTCTTCGAGACCCGCAGCGAATTCGAACAGATGACAATCTTGTACGACATCTGGAATTCAGGGCTCGATGTGGAAGACATGAAATACTTGAGGCTGATGTACGAGCGCCTGCTGCATGAGGACAATAGCACAGACTGGCTGAACGACACCCACTGGGTCCAACACACCAATATCCTTCCTGAAATAGGTGTTACGATTTGTGGGTGGGCTGTGGCTCTTGCTGAACCTGTATTGAAAGGGTGGCAACTTTGTGGCCTTTCCACATGCCTGTGTGCTACAGTTTTAAGTGCTTCAAGCACAGGCCAGGCTGGGAATCGTAGTTCAGGAATCGGGGGCACCACAGCTTCTCTATCCCACTTTAGCACTCTCTTATCGTACCCTCAGCAGAGATTTCTGGGTATTCTATAATGTTGAGTTCTTCTGGGAATCCTCCGTTGCATGTTCTTCCCTCTTTTGCTTCAAAGACCTGCAATGCTCTAGGTAGAAAGAATGGCTGTTAACCCAAGATTAAATCTGTAGTGTAAATACATCTAGGACAGTGGTGGCGAACCTAGGACACGGGTGCCAGAGGCGGCACTCAGAGCCCTCTCTGTGGGCATGTGTGCCGTCCTAGGCCTTCAGCTGGGTTTTATAAAACCTTTTGGCTTTAGGTCTCTGCCGCCATGTGCAAAAAAAAAAAGTTCAATCAATCAATCAATTTCAACTTCTCGTGGGGAAAAAAAAAGATCTTGCAAAGTTGGAATTGATTGATTGACCTTTTTAGTCCCACCCAGTCTGCCATTACCACCGCAGCCACGCCCAGCCAATGGGCCACGCCCACCCGGCACCCGACGATGCATAAATGGGTTTGGGGGTTGCAGTTTGGGCACTTGGTCTCTAAAAGGTTCGCCATCACTGATCTAGGACTTCCCATCAATTCCTATTACCTATTTTATTTAAAGGAAGTAGGAAAAGAGGCAATTGCGGGTTCCCATTATTAGGTTTCATTGGGCCAACTTAATGGAATTCTGTCCAACCTGGAGCCTGCAGCATATAAAGAGTTTTATTTTCCCAAACAGCAGAGCCTTCGGTGTACGAGACTATATTTGAAATGGAGTGATACTACCCCTCTTCCAGAGCTGCTGTTCAGTCTCCTCTCAAAAGTGCTTTTTCAAAAGGCTACTGGCCTTTTTTTTTTGGTTTGTTTTTGTTTTTTGAGGAGGAAGAAGACGTTCCATTTCTCATGCAAGAAGCTTCGTCAGTTTTGGCAGGAGGGTGGGGGTGATGGAAGGAATCCATTCTTCTTTTTTTATTTTTATTTTTTTATTTTTTTTTTATTTTTTTTTTCATTTTTAAATTTTTTTTATTAATTTCAAAATAAAACCCCCTCCCCCATACAAATATAAACATACATTGATACAACTTCAGTATTATTAATTTTAACATTCAAACATAAACATACATTAGTATTACAAAGCAACCCGGCAACACCCCCTCCCTGCGTCCATACTCTTTTCTCCTCCAACTTCCCTACACATCCCCCCTCCTTCCCTCTCCTCTTCCTACGGACACGGTTTAGAGCGCTAGCCGAGCGTCAGCTCGGCAGCACCCCCTCCCCGCATCCGCCCCCTTTTCTACTACCTACCTACTTGCCTCCTCTCTCTTCTCCTCTTCCTCTCCCTCCTTTTGGACATGGTTTAGGGGTGTTAACCGAGCGCCTTCCATATTTCTCCATACATCAATACTCCTAATTTAATACTCATTTCTACATTAATACTCTTAATTATTTTATTTCTCTATCCTCCCTCTCCCCCCAGACTTCCCAGAACTGATTACAGGGTTAAACACACATCGTCCCAAATCTAAATATTACTACCCGAATATAAAGCAATCAAACATAAACATACTTTAACTCAAATAAAAACAATCAAATATAAGCATATACATTTAGACTCTAAACATATAATCTATCCATCTTCACTAAACCCAAATATCTAAAATTAATCTTTGCCATTTCAACAAAATAAAAACAGCCAATCATCTTGCTGCTATTCATTTCTAAATTCAAATCTTCCATAATCCCCAATAAAAATAATTACAAAGTAAACTTTATCTATCACTTAAAAAAAAAACTATAATAATAATACAATTTATTTCCCATATCTCCAATATGATTCTCAAATATTTTGAGCCCATTTAATCATACAATCTTTAATTTTATAAATTCTTTTATATGAACTCTATCACAATCTTTAATTCAAATACTCCTAACATCGCCCCCGCCATCCTTCCAGAACCGATGAAGCATTTTGAATGAGAAACGAAACTTTTTCTTCCCCAAAACAAAAACAAAAACAGTTTAGTTGCCTTTTGAAAAAGCACCTTTGAGACAGCTATGACCTGGATGATTGAGAATCTCCACAGATGTTCAGTTGCATTTGGCCGTCGGGTTGTGTTTGATATCAAATATTGAAACTGGGATTCCTTCTTAACTACCGTGCTAGGTTCAAAAGTTTTGGGCCAGCTAGTTAAAAACAAACTGCAGAAGAAGATACAGGTCGTCCTTATTTAGCAACTGTCTGAATTGGTGACCGTTCTCCCTTATGGCGGTGATGAAAAAGTAACTTTTATGACTAACCCTTGCATTTAAGACCTTCCCGGGTTTGTAAAACAAAAGGATCAACTGGAGTAATATCGTAAGCACAGCCACGGCGTCAGTTTGACCGCTTCACTTAACCAAGTAGTCCGTCCCAGTTGTGGTTGTTAAATGGGGACTTGCCTGTGTTTTAAAAACTGTCTTAAAAAATCAAAGATCGTAAGACTTCAATTTTGTATATTCAGCTTTTAACGCTGCCTAATTAGATTTAAAAACAGTTTGGGCTAGTAAGATGCACAATGGGGAGGTTCTTCTCTGTTTGTGTGGATTATTTACATATAAAGATTTAAATTCTGGAGGGGAAAAAATGGCTGTTTTCTCCTCCCTTCTCATTGGCCCAAGGCTTTTGAAGAGGGAGAGTTGTAGTTTTGGAGTAGGCCAATGTAGAAAGCGTGTCTCTGTCTTTGTGGCGGTTCTTCCTGCTCGTATTTTTCTTCCAGTCGATGAGAATATACTGTATGTAACTCGGGATTGAACCGTGGAGTTCTTGGCGCTCTCTGAGGTTGTTGGTTGCTTGCCTGTAGACCAGCGGTTCTCAACCTATGGGTCGCGACCCCATTTGGGGTCGATCGACCATTTCACGGGGGTCGCCAAGCAAGGCTGTCCGCCATTTTTTCCCCCCTTTTCCAGCGGGTGCCTTACCTCCCTTGAGCTGGGCCAGCTGGTGGTCGGCCTGCTCCGTCTCTGCCGCTTGCCAGCTATGCCTCGGCCGGCGCAGGGGGCGGAACCATGCATGTGTGGCGCTCCCGGGCAGGGAAAGCCCTCGACTTACGACCGGTTGGGTAGTCCTCGACTTACAACCAGTTTAGTCCTCGACTTACGACCAGTTTAGTCCTCGACTTACGACCGGTTGGGGGTCGCGGCATTAAAAAGGTTGAGAACCACTGCTGTAGACATTTCACCACCTAACTAAGTAACGTCATTGGTGCTAACATCATTGTACTTCTCCTTGACTCACCTGCCTCCACTCACAAACATTGCAAATCCCAAACGGAAGAGGAAATCGTCTGAGCTGCGGGAACATCAAACCGGTTGTGCCCGTAGCGAGGGCTACTACCACATCAGTAAGAAGGAGAAGGACAAATACCTTGACATGTGCCCAGTCACCGTGCAGCAATTGGACAGCGCTGATACCCAGGTTTGGCCCCTGTTCTTTTGATGTGCTCACCTGTTTAGCATGTTCAGCGCAGCCCTGACTCCAGAATAACCGATGGCACCGTTGAAACGCAGCGAGCATAGATAAGACTATTACACATTATAAAGTGTAGGACAGGGGTAGGCAACCTTGGCTCTTTTATGACTCGTGGACTTCAACTCCCAGAATTCCTGAGCCAGCTATGCTGGGAGTTGAAGTCCACGAGTCATAAAAGAGCCAAGGTTGCCTACCCCTGATCTAGGACATCCACAGTGAAGAATTCTGCACTACAACAGTTCTCACCTGGTGTGAGAAAAATGCTCACAGTCATTTGCAGCTTTGTGGCTTAACTGGATTTTTCCTAAATCTGTGTGAAATTTTGCTACTGCCCCCTTTTGTAATCATACTGACAAGTGAGGTGTTAAGATTAAGATGCTGAAGATCGACCACCAGCAACCTGGGAATGTTTCCCAGCAATTCTTCAATATTCTTAGGTTTCACAAGACATTGCTTAAAATTGTTAGTCGTTTCCCTTTATTAATAAAGATTGGAACTGTTTTTAAAATTGGAAATCCAATAGCAGAAAGCAGAAGAATGGGGGAGGGGAATGCAAAAGTTTAGTTTACGTGAAGTGGAAACGTTGAGTATGCTCTCATTTTATGTCGTATCATTGCTGCAAACTATTTAACCTAGTAACTGTAGAACGAACAACCTTTGTTAATATTATTTTATGCAATGGTATATGCATATGTTAGCCATACTATGACTTAGAAGTGGTTATGGTTCATTTATGATATTTAGGTTTGTTTACAGATTTTAGGTATTTAGGTTTATTTATTTATAGGCTTATGGGTTATCATTTTATAGGTTTATAGGTTATCAGTGTATATGAGTTAATCCTTACTGAGTTATGGAAAAGAATATTCAAATAGCAAAATTTAGAAAGTATTACATGTAGCTCTTGAGGCACTATCAGCATGGGAGATTATACGAAAAGCTTTAACTGCAAATTAATTGTTAGCTTGTATATTTATTTTGGACCTTGTTGTGTGATAAATAGGGTATGTGAGAAATTCTAGTATCAGTCTTGCTCCCACAGAGCAGTGTTTCTCAAACTTTAAGCGATGTGGACTTCAGCTCCCAAAATTCCCCAGATACATGCTTTGGGGGATTCTGGGAGTTAAAGTTCACACCGCTTAAAGTTGCTAATATTAAGAAACACTGTTCACCTTAAGGCAATGTCATCTTGCCAAGGATGGATACATCCATAATTCAAATAATGAGGTTTTTTTTTCCTGACTGCTTCCTTCGCATTCATTATATCTAACAAGCTTGTGGTGCTTTCCCAGGGCACCAACCGCATCTTGTCAGAACGACGGTCTGAACAAAGGCGTCTGCTGAGTGCCATCGGCACCTCTGCCATCCTCGATAGTGACCTTCTGAAACTTAACCAGCTGAAGGTACCAGAGCGATTTTATTAAGCAAATTGAAAAAAAAAAGTGGAACAGAAGGTATCAGCTAGGGTGGGAGCGTTGTGGATGGGGAAAAAAACTGACAGTAACTTTGGTTTAATGATACGATGACGCTTTCCATCGAGATCTGGGATGTATTAAAGCATTTTTTAAATTTTATTTTACAGTGATAATACTGTAAATAACTCCCTTCCCCTTTTTTTTATTTTATATACTTTATTTTATAATGGGCCAAAATTGATGATGATGATGATGATGATAATAATAAAGTTGGAAGGGACCTTGGAGGTCATCTAGTCCAACCCCCTGCTCAGGCAGGAAACCCTATACCATTTCGGACAAATGGCTGTCCAGTCTCTTCTTAAAAAATTTCCAGTGTTGGAGCATTCACCGCTTCTGGAGGCAGGTTGTTCCACTGGTTAATTGTTTTAACTATCAGGAAGTTTCTCCTTAGTTCTAGGTTGCTTCTCTCCTTGATTAGTTTCCACCCGTTGCTTCTTGTCCTGCCTTCAGGCGCCTTGGAGAATAGCTTGACTCCCTCTTCTTTGGGGCAGCCCCTGAGATATTGGCACACTGCTATCATGTCCCCCCTCGTCCTTCTCTTCGTTAAACTAGACATACCCAATTCCAGCAACCGTTCCTTGTATGCTTTAGCCTCCAGTCCCCTGATCTTCTTTGTTGCTCTTCTCTGTATTCTTTCTAGAGTCTCAACATCTTTTTTACATCATGGTGACCAAAACTGGATGCAGTATTCCAAGTGTGGCCTTACCAAGGCCTTGTAAAGTGGTATTAACACTTCACGTGATCTTGATTCTATCCCTCTGTTAATGCATCCCAGCACTGTGTTGGCTTTTTTGGCAGCTGCAGCACACTGCTGGCTCATATTTAGGTGATTGTCCTCTAGGACACCGATGCCCTTTTTTGTGCAACTTCTCTTCAGAATTTTGAGGACTGATCAACCTATGTTTTTTTAAAAAAATGATAAAACCATAATAAAAAGCAGTTTACCTGCTGTTTTTTGTGTACATAGCAGTTTCTCTCAAGCAGCAGAATAAAGAATTTAACACTCCACTCCTGGGCTTTCCCTCTTCTTTGTCTTCCCTGCAGTTCCGGAAAAAGAAACTCCGGTTTGGACGGAGTCGAATTCATGAGTGGGGCCTGTTCGCAATGGAGCCAATCGCTGCCGACGAAATGGTCATTGAATACGTGGGCCAGAACATCCGCCAGGTAAGAAAAAGCAGGTGGAGCTCTGTAAGTAATACTTCCATTTTTTAAAAAACCTTCATCAGTCCTGCCAGACGTCAGATGTAAGAACATGATGGGAGATTTTTTAAATAAGTAATTTACCTTAAGACCAAAACTATTGCTATAAAATGAGCACTTTGATGTGTGCTGTTTTTTTTTTTAAAACAAGTTTTATTAATTTTCCATTTTTACAAACCTTTGGGTATTTAAGGAAGCAACATGGTGGTTGGGTAATACATAGTCCAATAACAGTTTACATCATCAAAAATTTCCTCTCTGTTTCCCTTAATCATTATGCCATGTGTGCTGTTTTTAATACATTAATTTTATTTAATTTTGAAGAAAAGACAAGTTCTAATGCTGGTAACATTTACCAGCTAAACATTTGTAATTGATATTGATAGAATATCCCTATTCTTTTTATTTTGTTCTCTCTTAGCTGCATTTAATACTCTAAAGCCCCTATGTAAGAGAATATTAAGAATCTATTATATAAATATCAGTTAATTAAAATAACACACTGTACCAAAATGTAGAAGATGGAATGCTAGATGGTCAATATGGTTAGATTTAATAGTATATGCTAGTTCTATATCAACATTGTATGAAAATACTTTTAGTTTCTACAAATGTCACTCATTTATGGTTTTTTTTTACAATTTTTATTAAATGTACATTTTAAAAACAAAAATGGACATGCTTCAACTTCCCTGGCTTCAACAGTGCTATTAGTATTACCTTATGTTACAGAAAGAAAAACAGAAACTTAAAATATATTCTTTAACAGGACACACTCATTTATGCAAAACTTTTAGAAATGGCTATCACCTGCTAATCAGAAAATACGATGAAGAATAACCAAAAGTAGTACAACAGTGCTATTAAAACCAGAAAAAAAAACCCCACTCATTTATGGTTTTTTTTTCTGGTTTTAATAGCACTGTTGTACTACTTTTGGTTATTCTTCATCGTATTTTCTGATTAGCAGGTGATAGCCATTTCTAAAAGTTTTGCAAAATAGAAGCCTTTTTTTGGGGTCCATTTGTGTAGTAGAGAACTGGCAATGATATGCAGAGCAGAGTTTTTGATGATTTAATCCTCGTATTTTTCAAGTTTCTACTTTTGTTAATGTTTCTTTTCTGTTTATTGCTTGAATTTTAGATGTACTTAGCTTATTTAAAAGCGTAGGGCATCTTGATTCACTTTTTTGGTATGAAAAATCAGATCATCATCATTCCACAATTTGCTGCTGAATGTTGGTGCTGTGAGTTTGTGGGCCGAATTAGGATCCCCACCCATGGAGTAGTTCAACCCATGCTCCCAGCCTCAGTCCACAGCTTTTATTTTCTTCAAGCTTCAAGTGAGATGCTAAACCTTATGAAGTTAAGGAAGTCCCCAATCCTTTTCTACATATGAGCCCTTTAAAAACAAAACATAAAAGTACTCAGGCTTTGCGTGGTTTCCAAGGCAGCTAGTGCCATAGTTACAGACTCTTTTTTTCTCTCTCTCTGATGGTTCCAATTGTGATATTTCAAGAGAACTATTGGATTCCTATTTGGAAGGTGACCTCTTCACTTTGTTATTAAATTATTTATTGTTTTTTTAATAAATGATGAAAATGTGCAGTGGCTAGAGTAGATGAAACAGGAGAATATAGTGAAATTGAGGGGAATTTGACCTGAGTTTGTTCCGTTTAATCTCTTAGTGTTGGTCTGTGGGAGAGGCACATGCAGCTAATTGGCACTAGAGGGTGCTGTGATGGCTACATGGAACAGCCCTGCTTTTTCAGTGCTGAGAGCTTATTTGGACAGTGGATTGAATATTATTATTATTATTATTATTATTATTATTATT